CACGCGGTTGGTCAGCGACTGTTAGTGGCGGGCTCTGATTGGTCAGCGACGTTAGTGGCGGGCTGTGATTAGTCAGTTTATTTTCAGATTGTCCTCCCTGGAACAGAGAACCGCACAACGCTTCTTCGACGTCCATACGCCTTGGCTATCGTTGATGATCAGCTTGCCTACAGTAATATCGGGTCGTATGTCCCGAAATTGTAAGTTCGGTGACGTCATTCATCGGTCGAATTATTTCCCTTTGATCCAAACGTTTAGAGAGCTCGTAATTGCTGATAAAATCGATGGTCTTGGTGAGCGACTAATTGTCGAGACGTCCACTCCAGTGCAAAGCATAACCGTCTCGACATCCAACGCTCATAAATGTAAATTTCCCCATTGGAACCATTGAAAAGTCCCGAGCGTTCATACTTATCGATTTTTCAAGGCGGTGCGGATGCGTGCGCGTCGCTTGTGTGCGGTGACGAATGCCGTCTGGATGCACGCGGACGGCCACATTGTGCGTGTCGTGGTGAGCGGAAACTTAACTCGGACAATGTGACCTGCAGTGGAAGTGGTAAGTGTCATGTACTTCTTACAAATATCGATTGATCAACAGCAGTTGTTTTCAGAGTATGCGACGAAAACGTGCGCAGAGAACGAGTTTCTCTGTAAACTTGGTTATCGATGCATACCGTACGAGGAGACTTGTGACAGATATCCTGACTGTGTTCATGGCGAGGATGAGGACGAGGATATGTGCAGTGAGTGAGATCCGAGGATGTTAGGAGTTCATACATAGGAAGACTGTTCTACGATGTTGTCGACCATATTCAAAGAACTTTCCGCGGTGACCGGATGGGCGGAGAGATACAACCATTGTGCATTCCTCACTCGTGGGGCCCTTCTTCCACACAATGAAGAAAAGGTTACGAAGGCACAATGTTTGTGAGTATCCCCGAATTGTTCGTCTATCGGCTATCGCGGAAAGTGCTTTAAAGAATAAAACGCAGGACACCTTTTGGCATCTTTGACCAAATCACACTAGAATGTCTTGAAAATGGCTCGTACAGTTGGTATCGACGCAGTCAGTCAGGGGCAGCATCAGGAGGCATAGAGCGAGCCCACCCGCTACGTTTTCTACCACTAGTTACTTTCTACATGAAACGGCCCACTAGCCCACTATTGGTGGCGAAAGCATCTGCGGGCAGGTTAATATCACGCTCCCCCATGCCGAATGACGACGATACCGCCCCGTCGTACACGACGACATCAACTCTACGTGCCCTTATGAGTTCCAGCGCTAAAAGTACTTGTGGTGCTCCCGTCCGTGGTGGGGATACCAGCGCCACTCTTTAAATGAATGCGTTATTCGTGAGTCATCCTCGGGTCCAGAGCTTTGACCAACTCCACTTTGGAAGGACAATTTTGGTCAAAATTTGGCCTGAATTCCAAAGAAGGGGCAGGTTAAGGTGAATAGTGACTGATTTCCAAAGATGCCCGCTATTTTCAGGTAAACGAACGTGCCGTCCCGGCTACTTCAACTGCGGTAGTGGTCTGTGTGTGTCGCTGACGAAGAAATGCGATAGAAATAATGATTGCCTAAATTTTGCCGATGAAGTGGACTGTGAGTGCAAGTAAGGATGAATTCAAGTGGGTTATTTGAAAAGGCTTATAGAGAAAAAAGTGTGAAAAATACGTGGGTGCACATCTTGTACCCCGCGAGGTGTCGTTACCGGATTTGGGATGAAGCATGTACCCCAGAGAGCCTCTGTCAGCATGTTTCACCAAGAAAAACTTCATCACGATACAGCTTTATCATAGCTTTAGCTTTATCGGTTAGGAGAATCCTTGGGGGATGTACTTGGTCGGTGGAGAAGGACGGTATAGGGGCTTGAGAGAATCATTTCCAGGCCGCACCGGTCATGCTGCAAGATTGGCTTTGCAAAAAAAATTGCGATTGTTGTT